CTTCCAAAAGTTTAAAATGAATAGTTCGATAATAGTAAATGGACAAAGGCTGCAGGCTATACACAGAAAACTCAAATGTTCGATTGACATTTGCAAAGGTATACTGTCACATTCGTATAAATCAGGATGAAAAGGAAAACAATACATTGTCTTTAGTATTGCTAAATATTATGTGGAAATTCTTGTTTCTCCACATCTTCACCAATTGTAATCAGGATGTTAGTATTTCACAACTATCAGACTGGCAAGTCACTTTCCACATAGACAATTGCCATTTATAATCATACAGCACATGCCCTGTGACCCAATGCCTTAACTGTCATCAGTGTTTATTAATAATACCATTCTTTTTTCTTCCATGTGCAATGACACTGGTGCTCTATAGCCTCATGAGGTTGTGTGACCACTTCTGTGCAGTGGGTTGTGAGGGAATTGCCATGGTGTTTCCAACCTGTGCAAGATCCTCTCCTCTTTCTCCAAGTGGTGAAGACACCCAAGTGGTCCCCATGGTGCAGTGACAAAAGGGGCTATCAGCTAAGGTCCCGGACAGACTTTGGGGGCCAGAGCTTCTCACTGAACCACAGTGAGCATGTGTGAATTAAAAAAAAAAAAAAAAGTATTTGGTGTGGAGTTTAAAATTTGGTGTGGAGTTGCAAAATAAATGGTAACCTCAAAAAGGCCCATGTGGAACAATTTCTCTAGAGTATAGAACTAGAAATAGAACTGCCAGTACGGCATTAGGACGGCATCTGGCACAGAATTGGCATTTCCTAAATGTGAGTTTAAAAGCGATCCTACTAAAACATTAAAGTTGTGTTTAATAGATATGTGAGTTAGTGAAACCTGGCCTAGCCTGTTCAACTTTCAGATACATAGTGAATAAAATCCAATCACAAATATTTGCAATAAAGCTTGTTTTCCCTTTTGCTGTATTCACTATGGCAGCTATCAGTCACAGCAATATTTGAAACATGACTAGGGTAACTGAGGAACTAAATTTTAAATTTAATTTAAATTAGAAGCAGTGTAAAATATCTATTAAACACTTTGTTTTAGTAGGATCACTTTTAATTACAATAGCAGAAAATTTAGCCCCAAAATGACACGTGCTGTGTTAAATACACACCAAATGTCTAATCTTTGGGGGGAAAAAAAGCATGTTCTTTCTCACCGCAGCCTCCCCACCTGAACTCAGGTGATCCTTCCACCTCAGCCTCCCCATTAGCTGGGACTATAGGCACTCCTCATCACACTTGGCTAATTTTTATTTTATTTTGGTAGAGACGACAGCTTGGTATGTTGTCTAGCTGGTCTCAAACTCCTGGCTTCAAGCGATCCTCCTGCTTTGGCTTCTGTTACGGTGCGAGCCACCGCACCTGGCTGTTTTCTGTGCAACAGTGTGGATGGGTGACTGCTGCCCCCTCGCTTTATGGCCCTGACGTCGATTTCTGCCACATTCCCTCTTCTGCTCGCCACATGACAGCAATCCCTGCAGTCCTTGCCTAATAGATTCACTTCAGGCTCACACTGCTGTTTTTGGTCTCTACTCTCTCTGAAAGCACCACTATAACGGCGACACTTTACTAGGCTGATCCGATGGGACTGGAGGATGACAACGCACTTAAACACAAAGAACAAACTGATCAGCCAAATTGCTGAAGTTAAGCAACTCACATCTCTTCTCCTCAGGGTTTGCCGATATTTGTATCAAGTCCACTTCTCTTCCATTCCCTATTTGCCTCCCTGGGCTCTGGGAGATGAGCAAATGAAACGCAACCCCATCCTCTTTTTTTGTAGGTGGGGTCTAGCTGTGTTGCCCCAGGCTGGTCTTGAACCCCAGGCCTCAAGCGATCTTCCTGGCTCAGTCTCCCAAAATGCTAGGATTAGAGGCATAAACCACCACACCCAGTCTAAATGCACTCTTTACATATCATCATACTCTTTCCTCCCAAATAAATGTGAAAATGTGCAAGAGACCAATTATACTTGGAGATTACCTCGAAAGTATGACACGTGAGCCAGGGGCTCATCACTGCTTGAGAACGATTTCACCCAAGCCTTGCTCCTACACGAGAGGCTAGACATGGAAGGCAAGTTAAGTGGCCACATAGTTCTCTATTGAGGCCGCTGATAATGGTGGGAAAACTGCCAGGTCCAAACCAGGACCTTCTGTGAATTTAAGACAAAGCAAAACAAAAAAGGAACCTGGTTTATCAGCATTTGTATGGTTACACAGTGGTGCGTCTAATGCAAAATATACCCTGTGTTATGTAGAATGTTGCCTTTATGTCATTCAGAAATGTATCACACAAGACAGTCTGTGTAATAAGGGCAGAGAAAATTTTACAGTTGCTTTATTAAACAAAACTTATGCCAACTTCTATATCTATATACAAACATGTTTCAAAACCAGAGCAGCAGACACACAGACTGTTAACACAGGAATTACGACAATGCTTAAAACATGTTATACAACATTTTGTTTTCTGCTCATACAGACATTTATGGATTCAAAAATTATTCCAAAGGTCGAGCAGCATCACACCTTCATTTTCTGAGAGAGTTCATATAATATATTCTAAAGAAAGAGGGATGGAGGTTTTGAGACTTAATGCACTCTTCAGTCTAGTTCAACAAACAGCATTTGGCTCACAACAGGGACTCACAAAATGTTTTGCACTGGGGATAAAAATTTGAATAAAATATAATCTATTAGAGTATACTTTAGGTAAGCATTATTTTTTGTTAATTTTTACTCCATTTGTCTATATCATAAATATAACAAGATCATCTCATTTCTGGTCCCAAAACGTAAGAAAACCTACTTTAAAAAATAAGTTTGAAAGAATCTTATTAGTATTAACAAAATGTAGTGACTGCAGGTCCTTCAAAATCAAGGTCAGAGCACACAAATACTCAACACAGCTCTGCCCTTACTCCTTCCCCTGTTGTTAGAAATTTGTTCATTTTATATCATGTACCTACATGTTAGGCTACTTTCCAAAGCTTTTTATTTAGAGAAGACAGCTACGTTTTACTTTCCCACTTTTATGACTTCTAGAAATCCTTTCAATTCCTCAAAAGGCATTGTAGTTCTGAAAATCCTCAAAAGCTATGCTACATATTCTACTAAAAAATAAGCTTCCAAGTATATAAGTTGTATTTTAGATAACACTTGAAAAATAGCTGACGCTTAATACTCTGACCTGTTTCATGGCCAATTCTCAGTCTAGCTTTTTAGGAAAAAGCTACTAAGTAGTGAGGTATAGGAGAAAAAAGTAAAAAAAGAAAGAGAAAAATCACAGCCTTTACTTTGTTTTCCCCATTTTGGGTTTCTTTTATGCCATAGGAGTACAAGTCTATAATATGGACACAACTCGAGAATGCTCTCCTTATGTAGTGAAATGGTACTCAAGATTCATTTCCCAAAACACACCAAATGACAATGCACAAGAACTAAACGTTGTAATAAAATGATCCATAGGGACTTCTGTTCACTTGTTCACATAAATTAGACCCCATCACTTAACTGTGCTTTCATTTTCTAAAAATGAGATCAGGCCATTATAAAAATGTGCTTCCAAAATAATTTCTAGAATATAAAAACATTTATATTTTCCAGTCCACATATCATTATAAAATAGGAAATCGGAGAATAAGCCACTCCAATTTTATATGGCAAAAATATGTATATGTGTACACACATATATAAACACATACATAAACATACAAGTTTTAAACTTCAATAAAAGTTAACCAATTAATCAACTTAATAACCATGTAATGAATTACACATAAGAAATATCTGTAATGGGAACCCACCACAAAGGATTACAATCTCATCCACCAGACGATAACCTAAGACTTACACACGTGGGGGGGACAACCAAAAACACACAAAGAGTAAGTCTGCAACTGACTGCCCGGTGAGACAGAAATCACTGGGGTCCTTTTCAGATGTCACAGGCCCCCCCCCCCCATCTCATTCACTACATCCCATCTGTCCCTTAAAGCTGGAGCGGTCTCTGAAAGGAAGAAGACAGGAGTGGGGGCTAACTTGTGGCTGTGCCATCTGGGCTTCGCCTGCTAGTGCCTGGCCACACGGGCAACTGAAGACTAAAATCCAGCCTCGCACGGCACGTCTGTCTAGCCAAGAAGCTACGCCTGTGCAGAGGCGGACTTTTTTTCTCAAGTACTCCACAGTGCTGTGCAGGTCAGCGACAGCCCTGCCACCTTAGTACAGAGGGAAGTGGAAGGTGTGTTCCCAGAGGTGCTGCCCCGGGAAGGCCGAGTGGCAGGGAAAGCATGACTGTGGCTAAGATAAATCAGAAGCAGATCCTTGCCACCAAGGAAAACCAGGGATCCTGTCTCTATAACTTCAGCAAAGACAGTGAGAGGTCTCCACTCTTGTTGATTCCTGCCAGAGTCTAGTAGTTTCATGAGGGAAAGGCACAGAAAGAAAGGGACCAAAGTGAGCAGGGAAGCTGTCCTGTCCAGAAAAATGGCAGAGGAAGCCTAGGTCTGACCCGGAGAGCAGAGTCGTGACCCACAGTGATCAAGAGAAAGAGTAGGAAGCAGCCACCCATGGTCTCTGGATGAGTTCCCCAATGAACACTAAAAGTCACATTAAGTCCCTTTCACAGCTTTCTTTACAGGCCTACCTTGAACTAACTTCCCAAGTTTTATCCATGATGTAAGAAGTCTGTTTTCTCTCATTTTAAACTGGCCACCTAATTTGTCTGTGGGAGTGGTAAAGGCAAAGAGAAGACTTAATTTTAGACATTTTCCTTTTGTAACCAACACTTCTTTTCTTTTTTTTCTTTGCAAAAAGTCACATTCCCTACCCAACTGTCCTAAATCAAAGTATTTTTTAAAAAGTAAAAGCTAAATACTTGAAAATGTTATCTTTCTTCTGCTAACACCTATTGAAGGAGTAAATTGAGGCAAACCCTTGGAAACACGCTTTAAAATAGCCAATAAAGGAAAACTCTCTATGCTGTATGAACATTTATGAGTATTATACAGGGATTGAACAGAATGGCTGTTTTTCTATTACCAAATTTAAGACAGTCAATAAAGTAGATGATACAACTTCCAACATGTACCAAATATTCAGGAGACAAGTTGAGCAAAACCAAAGTTAGAGCAAAACCAAAGTGGATGTGCACACCCAAACAAGGCTTTACTTCTCCAGTAGCATTTGTATGAAGAGCATGTGCACAGCAGTCTCAATTTGCCCCTCTGAATGGATTAAGGAAGGTTTGATCTACTCCAAAAAAATGGGTGCCAAACAAAGGAAGGTCTCAGATCCCATTGAGAATCTGTTGAAAATTTCACATCCTGTCTCCAGAAAATATGCATATACATTAATCTGTGTACAATTCCATGGACTTCAAACACATTCCAAGGTCCAGTCATGTATCTCAGGTTCGGAATCCTGACTCTCAATGTTCTCACAGGGGAATCTCGCAATCTTCTCATTTCTACAGTCTTCATTTCTCCTTTTGAATCTGGGGGTAGGGGGGCATCCCACACCAGAATAAACTAAAAGAAAAACAACTTGCTTCAAAGAGCACTTTTTTTTTTTTAACCTATTTGCCCTTGGAAGAAAGAACATCCCAATCTCTAGTTGCCTCTATCAAATGCCGTTGGCCATGACTCATCCATTCTTCCTGGTCTTCATAGAGCCGCCCACAAAACCAGCACTTAAATATACACTGCGATGAATCATCAGGCAAGGAACCCACCACCTGGTAGTTGTTTTTATGAACTTTTTTAAGTTTCATTTTCAACATCATTTGCCTTTTAATTTGATTGGCTTCCTCGACATTCTGGTAGGTCAGTCGTACGTGATGCCGTCTGATGCCTAGCTGACACCTAGTTCTCTCTGATAACACGACTTTGAGGACATTGCCTTTGTACTTATTTATGACCTTCATCACATTGGTCACTTCTGGTGAGTCAACATCAGGATGGTTTAACACAATCACTGGCTGATTCCGACGAGGACATTTAATCAACTGGTCTGGTTTAGCTGCTATCAATCTAAGTTGTCTTGCAACCTGAAAAATTGAGGGATCCTTGAGAAAGCGCCTGGGATCAGCCTGAATCTTGTTTTTCTTCCTGGGTAAGTTCACTTGTCTGGTTTTACTTTTATTTATAGGAAGATTTCTGGAAAGCTGTTTCCCTTGCCTACTCAATTCAACGTTTCCTTGTTGTCTGTGCAGGGGGCCTGTTTTTTTAGGGACACTGCTATAGATAGCACTCTCTTTTCTTGGTTTGGGCCGAATAAATGTCTCAAGATTTTGGGACATGTCTATGGGCCCACTTTCACTTGTCAAAGACGGTAAGTCCAAGTCTGTCTGTTTCACAGGGCAGAATGGAACTGGTTTTATTAACTGTGTTTCACTGCAAGGTATGCTGACAGGTGCTTCACATGTAGCTTCTATAATGTGGGCATCCTCGGAAGAATTGACAACCCTCAACACAGCCCCTTTGGGGATCAACACTGGAGTGGCAACACGAGCCTTCCTGGCAACTCTGCTTTTGGTTTTCCCATTGCTGTTATCCACAAACTGTGGATATATCTGCTGACGAGCAAGCTGGCCACTACTAGTAACACCTCTATCACTCTGAGGTTTCTGGAGAGTGCCTGCAGAATGGCCAGGGTCCACAAAAGACACGTTGATTTCTTGAATGCCTTCAGTGGTAGCTTTCGAAGCTCCCTTTGAAGCCTGCCCTACAGAACGACGATGTGCACTATTTGCAGCCAAAGATGAAGGCTTGCCACAGGATTCAATTAACTGAGCTATCTTTCTGCGCAGCAGTTCAATTGACTTTATTTTAGATGTTGAGCTATTCCACTTGATGCCCTCAGGGACGTTTTCAGATCCAGAGCTCAGAGAAAAGACTGATGAGATGACTGGGCCATCAGAAGTATTGCCAGTCCTTTCAGAATTCTTCAGTTCTAAAGGCTTATCCTTGGGCTGTTGAGATCGAATTCTATCTTCTCCGTTCATGTTTATGTGTAAATACTCACTTTTGTGTTGAGAAGAAACATGGCTTATATTCGAAACTGCCTTGTGTGCTTCTGTCAGGGTATTTTCCAGCTTCCTATTAGAGGAAACCATTTTTACAGGAATACTGGTCTTACTTCTAGATTCCAAGTCATTTTTACTCATGGGCAATAAGCCCTTTTCTCCAGAAAAGGAACTAGTTGCAGGCGATGCAGCAAAGGGGAATAATTGCTGTGAGTTACTGTGTACATTTCTTCCATTTTCAGTAAAAGAAACAGCAGCTTTACATGGGAAAGGGTTTGATGCAGCTCCAAGACCACATAAAACACTGTTATATTTTAATACAGGCGCTAGAGAATAATCTTTTAAGGCAGAGGAAGGGAGAACAGTTCTATGTGGATACAAACTGTTTTGTTTATGCAAATTCTCAAGTGTTTCAGAATTAAGAAAGCATTCTCCACGGTTGTGCACATTAGGAGGCGGCATTAAAAAATCGTAAGAGTTCACCCATCTCACATTTTTCACTTGCTTCTGAACTGAAGATTGAAGACTGTCAATGCCTACAAATTTCCCAGCATTCCCGTCAGTCGTCATTGACTTTGTTTTGGGAGCAGGAACTTTCCCTCCCTGCTCATTCGAACCCTTCTCTTTAGTCACACGCCCAGAATTACCTCCATCACCCCTGCCTGCTTCAAGGCAATTATTTTCCTCCAACGGGAACAGTTTCAGAACAAGCTGTTGTGTACCGTTGACAACTTTCACGTCTATCAACTGTGCTAAACAGTTTGCGGGGACAACAAGTTCTGCTGGTGCCACAACTGTTAATGGCATACCTGGCTGAACAGGTTCTTTTGCAGGGGATAAGACTTCCACTTCAACATTTTTGTTCTCAAACAGGCTAACTTCATTTTGCTCTGACAGGGTCATTTTATTTGGAATACACACTACATCTTTTTGGTAGTCCTTTGGTTCAGGTAACAACATAATATTGTGCATTTTGTCTTTATTTGCATGGAGAGAGAACCTTGACAGTTGATCCGACAACTTATTTTGAAACGTAGTCCTTGGATTGGAAGCTTTTAACAGCTCTGTGTTCTGCTTTGAAGTGCTGGTTCTTCTGGGCTCCAACTTGGCAACAGCTTTGAGTGGTCGTTTTGCACCTGCCCTCTCGTGTACTCTCTTCCTGTGTTTGACAATATAGTCATTTCTAATAGCACCATAGTCACAATACTCACACTGATAAGGGAATATGCCTGTGTGTTTCACCAAATGCCTCTGAAACTCTCCTTTTGTATATGAAATGTAGCTGCAGTGAGAACAAATGAATTTAATCTCTTCGTGTTGAAGTGTGTGCTTTTTGTATTGCAGAGGGTCCTTTGTGGAAAATCGACATTTATCACAATAGTATTTGCCTGGTTTAAAGTTCCTTACCTTAAACTTGCTATTGACAGGACTTGAAATGGCTTCAGTTTTATTTCCAACATAAGTAGCACTAGGATTATTGTTCACAAAATGAAAATTGGGGGAAGGCACACCAAGACTGCAGGTAAAGCAGACATATATGTCTTCCTTCTGGCTTTGCCCTGTGCCCTTTTTCAAATCTTGAAGAGGGATTTTGTAAATACTTTTGCACTTTGCACATGTAGCGACAGTCATCATGGCAGCCTCTGCCTCCGAGCCTTGATACAAAAGGGTTTGGGCTTCTTGTCTATCTGGCCGAGGTGCTCCATTAGCATTAGGTTGTTTGGGTGACATGGTCAAGGAGTTATGTCCACCACTCACTTGTGTAGTATACAACTGTTGTCCGATATCCTTCATCTTCTTTATCTGCATTTCTAAAACAAGCCAACTGAAATTCAGAAAGATTTCACATGACAGAAATCTTTAGAAGGCATTCTTCAATACAGTTTGCAACGCGTAGATGAACAGCTGCTTTTTGGGTGCATAATTATCTTTTCCTATGTACCACCGCAGTAGATGCACTATTCCAAAATGTGACTGCTTTCAATTCTGATATTCCAGGTTACACTAGAGGAAAACAAAATCATAAACCATGATTAATGCAAGAGTTTAAGGTTTAACTAAGCTATTAAAAAACTTACCATATTTTAACAACCATAAAACTTTCCATATTTTAACAACCTTGGGAATTTTTTGCCAAATCTCAACATATGATATTTGACACGTTATAGTAACATGTAACACATCAGAGTTGGTAAATAAGCTTAAATTGAAGCCATTTTCAAACCTGGTCCCCTAAGAATCATCACTGAAGACCGATCATGAATGCAGATATACCAGGAACAAGGACATTATCGCAGCCACACAGAATAGCCTTTGATCAGTGACAGTTATGTTTAAGTGTCGGTGAGCATATCCTAGCAATTTCACAGGTATAATTCCATGCCAGCTTCACAAGCCTTGCACAGGACACTTTCACTTCAGTTTTTAAATACGTTAGTTAGCACATGGTAGAGCTAGGGCTTGGGCCCAGGTGTTCATGCTTGTTTTTACATTACAGCTTATCATCAGCACAGATACCAACGCTCTCACTCACACACGATTTGCTTTCACAAGTGGCAAGAAGCCACTGAGATGCCAATGGCACTGACAATATTAGAAAGATGAGCATTCCTTTAACATCTTACTGAGCATCTATCACATGCCAGGTTTTATTCTAAGTGCTGTAGGGCAGTGAACAAATGCAAATCAGTCCCTACCCTCATGATCCATGTACTACAGAGGGGGAAACAGAGGATATATCTGTCAAATGGGGTTAACTGAGGGAAAAAAATACCATAAAGCCAGGCAAGGAGGACAGGGTGCTCCTAGTTGATGAGGCTGCAGGGCTAGATGTAGAGGTGAGGATGGTGAGAAACACTTCACCCTAAGTAGACAATTGAGTAGAGACCTGGGAGCAACCAGGTAGTGAGTGCTGTGGCTGTCTGGGAAAGGTGTTTCAGGCAGAGAGAAGGCCAAGGTCTGTGGGAATTGGGCCTGGTGCATGTTCCAGGAGGCTCCACGGCCGGATGGGAACACACAAGGGGCATATGGTCACAGAAAGACTACAGCAGAGCTGCATAAGGACGTGGCAAGTGAGAGACCAGAGCAGCAGCACGGCATGGTCTCACGCACAGTCCACCATCGCTGGCTGCTATGAGGACAGGGGTGGAGTGATGGCAGCAGGGAGACTAAGACTGGCTTGACAGGGGGCAGAGGAGGTGACGAACATTTTCTAGAGCAAGTAAAGCACTCCAATGTGCATAGTAACTAATTTTTATACAATCTTTAAAGACATTTATTTTTTCAAAATATACACAACTAGAGGCCAAGCTAAAACACTTTAGCTTGGGTTCTGCCAAAAACCTTTCTTCCATAACCTTAAAAAAGCAACTTAAATCTTCTGAATCACAATTTTTTCATTTAGCAATTAGAAGCAAGTACACTTATCCAAACTCTCCCAGAGATGCCATGATGATTAGAATGCTGCAGTATAAGAAAACACTTTGAGATTTCCGAGTCCTTCTGTAAGTGTCAAGAGGCACCCAGAGGCATGCAGTCAGTGTTTGTTCAGGGACAGTAGCAATGTGGAGAATCAGCACAGCGTGAACAGGCCAAAAGTCACACAAAGGTAGTCTGAAAGGTGGACTTGGGGGAGCAGAAGGGCCTCCACTTAGGGTCAGGAAAAACAACAGCCACATATTCAGTTCTGGTCTAAAACCTGCCCTTCTAAAGCAGCTTTGGAAAGCAACAAAATAACACATCCTCTCTGATGACAAGCTGTATTTTCTTTTTTTTGAGTTGGAGTCTCCCTCTGTTGCCCAGGCTGGAGTACAGTGGCATGCTGCTCCCAGCCACCACTGCCTCAGCCTGCTGGGCACAGGATCCCTCTGCCTCAGCCTTCCAAGTAGCTGGAACAACAGGAGCATGCGACCATGCCTAGCTAATTTTTGTGACTGGTGAGACGAGGTCTCACCAAGTTGCCGAGGCTAGTCTCAATCCCTCAGGCTCAGGCAATCCTCTTGCCTCGGCCTCCCAAAGTGCTGGGATAATAGGCTGAGCCAGCATGCACAGGCACAAGCTATATTTCCTCTTGGAGCATTGTCTTTTCTTAATCCACCTTTGTGAAAGATAGTTGCCTTTTTTCAAAAGCAGTTCCAGCATGCAATCCAGCCCCCATCACACCTAGGGCCTCAATCAGACTTGTTCTACCATTAAGTATGCATACAATACTTAGACATCGAGCAAATTAAGGCCTGTGGGGTCAAACCAAAGGTGCTGTCTATCTTCCCAATGTTCAAACATGCAAAGGGACAATGACTTTGAACAGGATGCATGAATGACTCAAGCTGGCAAACACTTAAGCCTGGGCAACATGGAAAAGACAAGGGCTTTCACACTTCCCTGCACTCTAGGTATAAACAGCAGGTGACACACACTCTATTTTCCAGATTTGTGAAAGAGCTTTAGTGAAGGGAGTTAGAAATGACATCCAAAATATCTACTGCTCATCAAGGGATCCTAAACAAGCCCTATCTGCATCTGCTTGCTTATCTATTTAAAAAAGGCTGGATTAGATGATTTCTAAACAGCCTGACATTGCTGATCCCTAAAATCACAGATTTTTCATCTAAGAATACTATTATCAACACGTTCATGTTCGCATTGTTGTTCAGGTACAACCGAAGAAGCCATAGCTGCAATCAGAACCTAAGACAATTACAAGCCCAAAGAATGCAGAGTCTTGAGACGGGGTTGAAAGGGACCGGGTCCAGTGATTCTGAATCTGGCAGAGTTGCAGAATCACAGCTAAAATGAACATTCCCAGGCTTCATCCCAAAGCTAGTAACCCTAGTAAGTCTTGGGAGAGAGGGAAGGGAAGGGACTTTTATGGTTTGTAAAGCAACCCAGATAATCCTGATGAAAAGCCAGTGTTTAAAATCACTGGCTGAAGCTTCCAGCAACAATTCTTAAAACATCTTTACTGACAGACTATGCAGCCAGCCAATTTTATTTTCACACAGTTCTCATTATCAACAATTTACTCTTAAATGAAACTTAAACCAGTTTCCCTGTCACTTTCTTCTACCTTGACTTTGGAGTGACAAGAAAAACCTAGTATCTCTTGACAGACCAGTTATCAATCTGCAAATCTCTTCTCTCACCCAGTTCTCCATTCTCAATTCTGTCCAAAAGAGTATATGTATGACTATGCTCTCTGATCTACCAGCCTTATAATCCTATTTTGGGGGTGTTTGTGGGTGGAGGGGGGGAGGCAAAACTTGCTCACTGACTTTTTCAACACAGCACCTCATACATTAACCCTAAGAAATTCTCACACCATGTGACAAGATTCCTCTATTGAAATAATCATCCAAACCAGGATTCTACTGGTACATTTTTGCATCTCAGTCTCTTTCCCAGACTCCATTTTCAAAATCACAGAAGGCAGTTACTTCTGCCATTTTCCCCCAAGTCTCTTTAAAAGCTGGGGGGGGGGGTGCCATTCCTTCTAAAACTAGAGACCTGAAAGTCTAAGACAGACTGGACAGCAAAATAATGTCCATCATCAGAAAGTGGAGAGCATCCTGATGGAGGAAAGAAAGTCCCTAGAGAACTGGTCGAGTCAGCCAGAGTGCCAGCGGGAGACGAAATCCTCTCAGAGGGGCCTCTGCAAAACTCTCTCAGGAGCTGCTGTGAATTGAACTTCCACAGGAGCAAGGAGTTGCTTACAAAAAAGCATGTGGCAGTGATGAGCAAACACAGAGGGATGGGGAAAAGAAGGAAGGGCATCTGGGCTGTGACCAAATGACGCCACCTGTCTGAAATTACCTTCTTGGCTTCTAAATTATGCTGAAATTATGCAGTGTCCTACGCTGCCACTTCCCACAGTACAGGCAAAAAAGAAGTGAAGTTTCTTAAAAACAAGCTGATGAAGCTCACGCTGGCCTCTGAAACATGTTAATATATCTTAGATGCAACACTCCAGACAGAGGTACATGGACGCAGCAGCAAGAAGGATGAAGGTCACACTGTTGGTATTTTTACAAGGTCACTCCTGAGGGCACAGTAGGCACATCTGAGCAATGGACTCCCAAGGCCCTGTTTCTATCCATAAAACTTCTTCCATCTGGTTCACACTGAAGTACAACCACCTGTGAAGCTGAGTTCTTTGCCAAGTTACTGCCCAGTGGGCAGATGATCAAGAATTACACAAGACACTGCAGATAAAAGGGCTGTGCACTGGTGCACCTGACGTGCAGAGGGCACTCACTATATCACTATTAGCATCAGGGAAGGTGTTCACCTACTTTCCAAACTCCAATGCTTCTGTTACAAAAAAGCCTCTGCATTTGACCTACTAGGACTAGAAACATACCTTCTTTGTTTTGGATAATTTCGAAGGACTCTCAAAAACGTAGAAAAAGTATTTTTAACTTTATGGCATAATAAATAAGATGTACATTTAATATGTTTGCATTTGCCTGTTTTCAAAAAATTGTTTAGCAGCATACAGTGATCTTATTTTTATTTTTATTTTATGTAGAATGATGATCAGCCAAAGATGACTGGGGAAGTAGCAAAGTGTTACAGATGTGCTCTCCAGACTGGGTCCTGTCCTTCTTCAAAGAAAAAAGGCCTAACTGCATTCATTGTTGGTAGGTTTTCTTTTTGATTTTGGGTTTATCTGCCCTGATTTCTTAAAGACTTATAATGAGGACATAAAAGGAAAAAAAAATATTAAGTTTGGAAGAATCGGGTCTTTGACATTGAGGGCTATAAGAAACATGAAGGACTTTGTAAGTTCCTCTTAAAAATGAAACATTTAATGTTCAGTAGAATTAGAAGATATATAGGAGTAAAACTATGTTTAAAACTAGAGATTCTAGAATCAGATTACAAAGTCTAAAATCCCAGTTCCATCACTTTCTAGGTGTGACCTGCAGGACAGTTTGATTCCTCACCTATCAAATC